CGCGAGATAGGAAGCCGTCTAGGCGCACCCCAAACTAGAGTGCTGACAGAGAGCGCGAGACAGGAAGCCGTCTAGGCGCACCCCAAACTAGAGTGCTGACAGAGAGTGCGAGATAGGAAGCCGTCTAGGCGCACCCCAAACTAGAGTGCTGACAGTGCAAGCTCCCACCTGGGACTGGGAAGGGCTTTTCCCAAAGCCCCTCAACAGCAGCGACAGCAGAAAACACCAAGGCGCTATCAGCCTCAGAAAGAAGGAACATCTGGTGCAAAACCAAGAGACAGATGCCCAGAGGCCAGCAGGAGACAGCCCGGGGGGGGGAAGAGACCAAGGGTCTTCCCAAGACTCTCATGGCAACTACTCAGGAGGCTGAGATCTGAGGATCACGGTTCAAAGCCAGCCCAGGCAGAAAAGTCCATGAAACTCTTATCTCCAATAAACCATAGAAAACTGGAAGTGGTGCTGTAGCTCAAGTGGTGGAGTACTCGCCTTGAGCTGAAGAGCGCAGGGACAGCGCCCAGGCCCAGAGTTCAAGCCCCACGACCGACCAAAAAAAAAAAAAAGCCTTCACTGCCCTGCACTGGTTTACAGCTATACCTTAGCTACTCAGAAGGCTGAGATCTAAGGATGACAGTTTGAAGCCAGCCTGGGGCAGAAAAGTCCACGAGACTCTCATTTCCAATTAACCAGCAAAGAGCTGGAAATGGAAGTACACCTCACATGGTAGAACACCAGCCTTCAGTAGAAAAACCCAAGTGAGAGCAAAAAGCCCTGAGTTCAAGCCCCAGTGCCGACACAAAAAGAAACAAATGCTTTCACTTCCAGTATCTTTAGAGGTACAACATCTCCCTACCAGAGAAAGGGTGTGCTTCCGCACTGCCTGAGCCCCCTCGCTGGGCGACTCACCGCTCTTCCCATCCTCCGCTCTTCACAGCCTTGAAGGACTCGTTCAGGACCATCCGCATGAGCTTGGGCACAGAAGGACTCAGTTAGCAGAAGCACAGCACAGCCCACCAGAGCCTTTGGGAGGGGAGAGGAGGGGAGGGAAGTAGAATAGAGGGGGGGAGGGGGGAGGGGGGGGGGGGGGGGGGGGGGGGGGGGGGGGGGGGGGGGGGGGGGGGGGGGGGGGAGGGGAGGGAAGTAGAGTGGAGGGGAGGGGAAGGAAGTGGAGGGGAGGGGTTTTTCTTCCTCCACAGATAAACACCACATGTCCACTGTAGGTCAGATCACAGGAAAAAGGGACACCAGGGACATGCAGCCTGGCAGCCTGTGTAGGAGCTCGTGCGCAGCTGGAGCCCCGCTCCTGGCACCCTGTGGGCCTGCAGTGTGCCCCGTCACGTTCCTCAGAGGGTCAACCCAGAACCAGGCCCAGTGGCTGGACTGGGCTACAGAGGGGCAGGCACAGGCCTTGCAGATCAACAGCTTTTGCTGGGCCCCAGCATTCACCCAGCTATGCCATCTCAGCATGGGGACGTTGCTCAGGACCACGTCTTGCAGAATGACACGCACAAAGGTGGCACCTGGCTGGGCTGACCTCGTGTCCCCCCGACACTCCGCAGCCTGTACCCGTGCACCCGGCCTGGTCTGGGGAGGCGCCTTGTTCCAGCCTTTCATCAGCCACAGCAATGCGGGGCCCTGCAGTAACAACACTGCCTCCAGGGCTGGGGGCTGGGCGCAGCGGCAGGGCACCTGCCTGGCATGCACAACCAAGTTAAGTCCCCAGCATAGAAAAAACCTAACCAACAACCTGTGTCCGAGATGTCAAGACAGGATGACCTGAAGGGAGAGCCGGAGCCAGAGCAGCTGCTTGAGCAGCACACCATGGGGGGCCAGGCCCAGAGTAAGCCCAACCTGGTGCTGCTGGCCACAGCCCCTCAGGCAACGTCCCCAAGGTTCATTGCCAACTCCACCAGGAGGTGCTGTCAACTCCACTTATGCATTTTGGGGACGACACCTGCTGGGCTTGGACAGGGTCAATCCCAGACCACTGAGCTCAGCCTGGGTGTACGCCCTCACCATGTAGAACTTGTCCAGGCGCAGTCTGTCGATGCCGGCCCACTCTCGGTTCATAGTCTGCCAAAAGGCCTGTAAGAACAGGTGCCCTAGAAAGAGAGAGCCCAGTTAACACCATAGCGGGCGGGTGGTGGGGGGAGATGGGATGGGGGCAGCCTTCCCCAGGAAGTGCCAGCTTCTCAGAAGGCAGGCAGCCTGGCCTTTCCCAGCTGGTGCACTGCGCTGAGGCATGAGGCTGGCAATGGGGCTGGGGATCAACGGCACAGTACTCCCCCTAGCACGCACAAGGCTCTGCGTTCAATCTCTAGTACTTCAAGAAACAAATCAGTAACCACAGTCTTGCTTTAGGCATTGCAGAGAGAACACAGCGTAGCTCAGCAAAACTGCAACAGTGTTTTCCCAAAAAAGGCTCAGCGGAGCTAGGCACCTGTCATCCTAGCTGCTCAGAAGGCTGAGATCTGAGGATCCCAGTTCAATGCCAGCCTGAGCAGTAAAATCCATGAGACTCATCTCCAATTAACCACCAGAAATCTGGAAGTGGTGCTGTGGCTCAAGTGGTAGAGTGCTCGCCTTGAGCGGAAGAGCTCAGGAGCAGTGCCCAGGCCCAGAGTTCAAGACCACTGACAAAAAAAAAAAAAGGCACAGAGGGAACAATATGGACAGCAAGAGAAGTGGGAACGGGGCCGTCTGCCGCGGCGGGCTGGGCTGAGGGCCTCCGGCTGCAGCAGGACTGGCAGGAGGGGTCATGGAGGCAGCATGACTGATTGCTCCAACCCCAGATACAGAATCAACAATCAGACAAAGACCACCAGGGGCCTGTGCAAGGCCCCAGGTTCTAGCCCTCACATCTCAAACACCCAAAAAGAGAGACGAAGACAGATTCTTACCAACTGTGTGCTCACCACTGTCTTGCTGACTACGATGTGAGGAGAAGCCACAACCACAGGCGCTGCCCACAACACGGCCCTACTGTCCCGCATCAGGCTGCCCTCAGCCCAGGACGCGGACGCCCAGGCTGCAGCCCCACAGCACGGGCCCTACTGTCCCGCATCAGGCTGCCCTCAGCCCAGGACGCGGACGCCCAGGCTGCAGCCCCACAGCACGGGCCCTACTGTCCCGCATCAGGCTGCCCTCAGCCCAGGACGTGACGCCCAGGCTGCAGCCCCACAGCTGGGCTTCACTGGACCAGCGTATGGACATCAGGACATTTAAAGGCTGCCGGAGGAGTCCAATGAGTGGGCAAGGTGAGAACTACTCATCTTGGTCAGAAAAAAACAAAGGAGTTACACCCAATATTCACTGCTACTATGGAGTCTAATTCTACACTACCACACTAGCTTTTCCTTTGCACTGCAGAATGCAGGACCCCGCCTGTCGTTCCAAAGCTGAATCTACATATAAGCGAGCACAGGCAGAGCACTGGGAGCACATGCTACCCAGGATGTGCAACTCCAGGTCTTGGAACATAAAGGTCTGTGCTGTGTGCCTTTGAGCCTCGGAGACTCTGGAGCTTGCTTACGTTCAGCTGTGTGTACTCACGTGCCTCAGTGGTCTGAAATGCATGAATGAGCTGGGCAATGGTCTTTCCCAGTTCTTCCTGTGCAAGAAAGAACAAAAACTCCCTCAGGTCCTGAAGCACATTGCACACAGTAGGTCAACACACCACTGTCCATTCACTCAGCAAAGAGAACTGGCCTCTCAGGGCTCGGCCTAAGGGACCAGTTTTCTGCTTCTCCACTGAAGCCAGGGCGATGACCGCCCCATAAACAACAGCAGTCACCACCATCGCGGGGCACTCAGGCTGTCCTGTCCCAGGAGCTGGGGGAAATGGAAGCCACGGGACACAGCCACCTTGCATCAGGAAGCAAGGCCAACCACATCCAGGGTGTGCATGCCTCCTGGTACCAAGCATCACTGGAAACATCTGCAACAAGGAAGGCTCCAGAACCTCCTCTTGGGACAGTTGCTTAGCAGGCCTAGAACATGGCTTCTCTTTGCACATAAGCTCCCCGGGAGCCTTTTATTCTGTCCCTTGAATTCTATTATTTCAAAACTCTTTCTCCAGGTTCTATAATCTCCATGCCTGTAACCCTAGCTACTTGGATGGCTGAGATCTGAAGACGACAGTCTGGAGCCTGTCCAGGCAGATAAATCCATGAAACTCTATGTCCAGTTAACCAGCAAAAAGCCAGAAGAAAAGGTACGGCTCATGTAGTAGAGTGCCAGCCATAAGCGGAAAAAACCAAACAAGAGAGGGGTCCTGAGTTCAAATCCCAGTAACAGCATGCACACAGGCAGGCACGCACACACAACTGGATTTCAACCAAATCAGGACACACATGAAACCCACCTGACCTGCAGGGCCTCCTGCCAGTGTCACCATGGTAATAAGCCATGCTAGTCCTCAGCCAGTGCCACCAAAGGCCAGGACCCTGGCAGCTGCCAGAACGGGCAGGTTCTGTTGCGTGGCCCTCTCCAGCACCTCTGGCCCTGCTATGTGGCCAGCCATGTGCTCGAGTCCCCCATCCACTCTTCCCCGAGGCTCACCTGCAAGAGCGGCTTGTCCTGCATCCACATGCAGTAGAAGAGCCCCTTCCATATCTTCAGCAACTCGTCGTGTGTGAAGCCACCTGCACAGTAACAGCGACGTTAGACTAGAGGACTCCTGAGCGTGACCGGGGGAACTCTGGACCGGGCAGGCCGTGGGGGACACTGCAACCCGCAAGCCTGCAGTTCTTCCCCATGCCTTCACACTCCCGACAATAGGCAGAACGCAGGCAGGGTGAGTGAGCAGGGTAGTGAAGGCGGTGGTAACTGGCAGCGGAGGCCTTCCTCGACGGTGAGGCCGAACAGCTAGGCTAGCAAAGGAGGGACGTAGCCGAGATCCCTGCTGAGCTTCCCGACGCCAGGTGGAGGCCCTGTTCCCAGGGGCGTGAACGCGCAGATGACGGGGGCGGGGGGGGGGGGCTGAGAACTGAGGGCGCAATGAGCACGGAGCCCGTTCTCGGCTCGCGTGGGGCCAAGCTACCAACGGCGGTGAGGGCTGCTGG